GAGCTGGTTCTGGCCAGCTCAGTGGATTGCTTTAAAAAAGGCCTGGATTCTTTCTTAGATACACAGAATAAAACTGGATACTAACATTTATAGGTAAAGTTGATCCAGGGAATAGCTGATTGCCTCTCGGGGGATCAGTAAAGAATTTGTTCCCCTGCAGGAGCAAATTAGATCATTTTTGCCTTCTTCTGGATCAACTGTGGGCATAGGATTATAACTTGTTTTTTTTTTTAATGGTTAAACTGGATGGACTTTTGTCTTTTTTCAGCCAGACTAACTGTGTAACTGTGTGTGTAGCATGCAAAGAGCAACAACCAACTTTGGGTGGCAGGGCACTATTAAAAGATCTTCAGAATAAAGTTGTGGAGAGGCACAGTCAGGAGTCAGAAGATGGATATGAAAAAAAATTCAAAGGCTTTATCGATGCCTAAAGTGTCCCTGAAGTGTCCCAGAAGACTGCGTAGGAAGGAGGGGAGTGAAATTCAGGCTCAGTTCACAGCAGCGAACTGGGCTGGAAGTGGAAGCGGGTACCTATCAAAATCAGGTACCCACTCCCCCCCAAAAAGGGCGAAATGTGACAGTGGAGGGGGGTGTGCAACCAAGTGGAGCTTCCCCTTTTGGGTGGAATTCCACTTTGTTTACTATGGAAAGATCAAGGTAAGATAAATTGGCTTGTATAGGTCTCTACACTTCAACATCATTGTTCTAGTTGCATTGCCTCATTGGATATACCCATTACTTTGTTGTGTTTAGCCCACTGGTCTAGTCTTTCTAACCCATGAATATTGTAGAGAATTACTTCATGCAAAACTAACAACTGACTAATCTAGAAACAATATGATGAGAATATGGGGATTTTTAACAGGATATATTCCTATGCAAGATATTTGTTTTGGCCTCACCAGAAGCTCTATGTAATGCCATATGCCCTCAGGAGCAGGACTTTGTTATAAATATATATGGGTTTGTTATAAGTTGGCAATGTATAGATATGCACAGAACAATGTTTTATTCTTGTATGTAGCAAAGTAAATAGTGGTTATGGGATACAAGAACATGTTTGGAAAACACAGCAACAGCTGCTCTATACAGCAATTTCAAAATCCAAAAAGGGCAACTGTCCATTACTGGAAAGGGATACAGCATGAGAAAATCTTTGATCTGATAGACAAAGGGCAGCTGACATGTGATTCCACACACAGTTGAAACATTAAAAAGCATATGAAATTTAAACATCCTAAATCATCTGTTTTTTTCAAGAAAGAATTAGCAGTTGTATTGAATGTTTCCATCTGTTCAGTGTTCTCCCTTTCCAGTAACACCAGTAGGAAATCTTATGCCATGATGCTTGTAACTTTAAGAAATGCCATTACTGTTTTCAACAGCAGTGATGAGAATAGAACTGGCAGTTTTCTTGAACTGTCTTTTGCCATGTCTGTATGCATTGTGAGATATGAAATGCAAGATAATGCAGCATATATGTAAAGCCAGTTAAATTACCTGTAAGTTAGTAACTGTATGGAAGATTACCTAACCATTAAGACACTCTACTGCTTCAGGTTTCATTTATTCTCACAAAATCTAAAGATAGCAAACCATATATTGTGTATTGGGTTTGTAGAGTATACATCTAAGAGGTATTAATTTGGACATTCAACATCCAGGATTGCAGGGGTATGATGGTCTGACCTATATATGCTAGTACAGCCCTCAAAATTTCCACTCGCCTGCTTAATTTCCACGTAGTGGAAATTACGTGGGGGCTAGTAGAGCTACAACCAACTTTGGGTGGCAGGGCACTATCAAAAGATCTTCAGAATAAAGTTGTGGAGAGGCACAGTCAGGAGTCAGAAGATGGATATGAAAAAAAATTCAAAGGCTTTATCGATGCCTAAAGTGTCCCTGAAGTGTCCCAGAAGACTGCGTAGGAAGGAGGGGAGTGAAATTCAGGCTCAGTTCACCGCGGCGAACTGGGCTGGAAGTGGAAGCGGGTACCCAGGGGTATGATGGTCTGACTTATATATGCTAGTACAGCCCTCAAAATTTCCAATCGCCTGCTTAAATTGGGTGAGTGGAAATTACATGGGGGCTAGTAGAGCTGGAACTTAGGGTGGGTAGGAGGGGTGGTGGTTGGTGCAGTTACAAGCACTGATCTCCCTGTATTGCTTTCAGTGAAGCAGCTGAAAGCCACAGGAGGGAGAGGAGGAGAAACCGCTTCCAGCTGCTTCATTGAAAGCCATACAGGGAGATCGGTGCTTGTAACTGCCCCCGCCGCTGCACCGATCATCCCCGACTGTCCTTGAGATTTCCCTTTCTTTTTGCCCCCTGTGCCCCGTGTGCTCCTCAGTGCCCAGCCCTTGCTCCATCATCCCCACCAATAGGATATAGAGGCTGGATTGGCTCTGCATCCCCCTGTGCATGCCCCCACACAGTCCATGCAGCTTCTCAAAAGTGGATGTACAGGAAATATTATACAGAGCAGCCCTGTGATGACTAAGCCTTGTAAGTCTGACCCTTCCTTCCTTCCCTTGCTTCCCTTCCTCCCTGTCTTCCTTCTCTTCCTCCCTCCCTTCCCTTCCTCCCCTTCTTACCCTCCCTCCCTCTTTCCCTTCTTTCCTTCCCCTCCCTCCCTCCCTCCCTCCCTCCCTCCCTTCCTTCCTTCCCTCCCACCCTCCTTCCCTCCCTTCCTTCCCTCCCTCCCATGTGTGGCGAAGTTAACCCTTGTGGTTGTGCCACCGTTGCCAGTGAGTACAAGTGTTTACCATTTGATAGAAGTCAGCCAGCCAGTCCAAAAGCAAGGTGACTTGGCATGGGTGGTGAAGGTGGCCAGTAGTGAAGGAACAGAAGTGCTTGGGTTCCTTTTTTAGCTGTTGGTTCCCCCACAATGGTATTCACACAGAACTGCATGCCTGAGTCGCAGTAAAAACACTTAGATTTAAGAACACATATGTGTGAACCAGGGCTTAATCTAGCCAGGAATAAAATGGTTTTAATGACAGGTTAAAAACTGAGGTTTCTTGTTGCATATGTTCACAAATACATGTTGAAGCCACCCTTTCATGTCAAGGCACCTCTGAAAACTTTGGACCCTAACTCAAACTTTCTGAGCCCACAGCCTATAGTATACCACAATGAACAAACTGAGAGCAGATTCACCTCAAGATAGCACTATTCTCCTTAAAGATACAGCAACACACTAGAAGGCGAGACATCTAAATACTTTGTGTCTGAAAGTGGCAGTGCTTTAATCAGTCTGAAAGTGCTAAAAGGGGGAAAGGTGCACCTGGGCAGGGCAATATACAAAAGGGGACCCCAGCACACTAATTAGCTAATAATATATGCGTTTGTTACATCTATTGATACATTTTTGGCATGTTGTGTTTTTTTCTACCAATAATAAATAATTACACTGATTTTTCTTCATAATAAATTATTTTTCTGTTGGTTTTTTTAGGTGTATATGACTGAGATTTTAAGAAAATTTCCTGAAAGCAAGCATTTTTTTCAGTTGCATTATATATATTTCAGATAACCTCACACTATTTGCAATTTCCATTGGTTACTGCAAATATTTCGAACGTTTTAGTTCTTCTTTGAGATTTTAAATGTGCGTCTTCTGAGTTTGTAAAAACAAAAAAACTCTGATCCCAGAAGCTGTATCCAAAAGGTAACCTTAACAACATTTTAACCAGTGGGGACTTAAAGGAAACAATAAATCAATAGTGGCAAATAATGCCACTGCTAAAAGGTGGCTAGATGAAATGTTCATTTGGAATACAAAAACACGGCCGAATCAAGGTTTAAAACATAAAAGTGGAACTGCACTCTCAGTCAACAAGGACTATTTCTAACCCTTATGCTGCTAATATTAGTAAATAGATCAGAAAGTATATTATATTTACTTGTTTTAAACTTTTTTTTTAATATATCTTAATTTACTTCCTGGTTTCTATGCCTATGCAAATTATGTCATACATCCCAGCAGACTTCAGAAGGGGAGGGTTCTCAGCTCAGCCTATGCCTGAGCTAAGGGTAGATGGATTCCAGGAAGTAAATGATACACAAATGATTTACCCTTACTCAAGATGGCCAGTGCCAGAAATTCCAGGTGATGAATTTCAAAATTTTTCTGCAAAATAAAGCATGGAGACATGGATGGATGGATGGCTGAGTTTGCTTTGAATATTAAAAATGAATTAAATAGCGGTTTTGATGCTCAGATGCAGAGCTGTTCCACTTTAAATATGCACAGCTGAGAACGACTGAGCATGCACCAAGGTATATGCAGTTTGATTGAATAACACATCTGATTCAAGAAGCCTGATATATATATAGTGAGAAAAATGAGACGTCTCTCAAACATGCTGAGCAGACACTATGCTATGATAGATGGCAAAGTATGCAGAGAAAAATGTCTCTGGTAAAATCCACCCAAAAGAGTGAACGTTATATTTAAATATAGTAAAAGTTGTAGTAATAGTAGACATAAAAACCAAGGTCAACCACGAAATTCCAGTGTAAGAATCCAATACTGGACTGTACTTGGCAGCAAACAAGAAAGTAGATGTTTTTAGCAGTCTAAAAAGTTTGAGATTATAATGATTCTCATAGAACTAGTGATGTGATTTGTTTGTCAGACAAGATTATTTGGGTTTAACTGAAACAGCTTAAGTCAGCTTGGCAAAATTTGGTTGCAGGTGTTCTGTATAAGTTCAGCAAGGAGTTAGAGGTTACTGTAGATATGAAGAAGCAGAACGCTGTAATAAGCCCATCTCTGTGGACGAACAGTTTGGCAAAAAGACATACATTACTAAGAATGAAGATTCTAAATCCCCAATACATTAGTATATACAAGCACAGGAACAGCCATCTTTTAGTAGTGTGACATTTTACAAATAGTTTAATAGTGTATGTTCAGTTTAGACATGATAGCAAATGTATACTGTATAGTTACCTTCTGGATTTTGGTTTAATGTCCCTGTCACAACATAAAGTCTGTGGGCAGAATTGCTGGAAAATGAGTTATTGCTGCAGAATTATTGTTCACTTTTACTTGAGAATCTCTTTATGCAAGACATTAACCTCCCTGGCGATATTTCCGAGTTTAGCTCGGGGTAAAGTTTCAGTACCACAAGCGGTAACCCCGAGCTTTCCTCGGGCTTACCATGTGGCGCTGCTCTGCGATCCCTCGATCACTTACCTTGTCCTGCGCACCCGCGATGTCTCTCATGCAGTGTCCACGGCAATGTAATCCGGTGGATGCCGGCATCTGTCATCTGGGTTCCATCCCCTGCGAGCGTCGGGACGTATGGGGACGGAACGGCCGGAAATTTGAAAATGACAAAAAGTGACATTCAATAAAAATCACTAAAATCACATAGTATAACATTACTGTATCAAACCATTTCACATACATTTTGTCCCTAGTGCTTTGTCCTGTCCCCTGCCTGCATTTTGACTGTTCTTTCTGCCTGGAAACTTAGAAAAGTCCATGGCGTCCAAAAGCATCCCTTTAAGTCAAAAGCGGGTTTAGACCAGCTAGAGATCAGCGATAGTAAATCCGAACCACTTGCAAAATTGAGTGATAATGATTCGTGGGGAAATTCGTCATCAGACACTGAAAACTATTTTGCGACTTTGCTCAGTGATGTGCGAACTTGGAGCTATATTTAAAATTTCAGTGTTTTTGGTTTGATTATATTATTGAATTAAATGTATTATTATATTATTATTTTTTATGATTATTTATTAAATTATAATTTATGATTTCGTGTTTCAAGTTTTATCCTACCCAGGATGTTTACTAGACTCTTGTTTGGACAGATTTCAGTCAGTTATTCCTAAAAATTACAGGCCTACAATAAAAAAAAGACATATTTCCATGCAAAAAAATGTACCGCTTTGAGCACAGAAATATGGACATAATCAGACTGCTAGGGAGGTTAAGTAATAAATATACAAATACACAAAATCTAATTGTATTGACATTTTATTACCTCTCTGCAAGACATATCAAATGTGCAGTTTCTAAGAAATATCATTGTACCTCTTCATCCTTGTGAGGATATTCAATGAAAGTTGGCATTCATGCAGAATAGCTTGAACGGCCAAAATTAGTCACGGTTACCAAAAGGATGGCAGTAGAGTCTAACTAAGGTGCAGGCACTTGTGCACCAAGTATTCAGTAGACCTCTAGTGTTGATTGTGAAGCTCGTGCAACAGACTTTCCTGGTGTTTAGACCCTGAGATTACCTTGTAGGAAGCAACTAGTCAATGACAGGCCAAGGATGTAGCAGTAGTTATGCACGTTTGTGTTTGAAGTCAGGTCAAGGGTCACAGCCACACAGGGATGGTGCCAAGGGTGAGCCAGGCACATAACTGGGAACTATAGCAAAAGGGGTTTTTTTTTTTTGTAACCAAAATTGAACATCAAATCCAGCTCAAGGTGCAGCATGATGCAGTCAGAGAGCACGGTAAGTTCAGGGCATGTGGAGTTTAAAGTGTACTTGGGCCTAAAGCATGCATTTCACTTTTGGATAGAATGGTGAGTAATTAGAATCTCCATACAGGTTTTTACTGCTATCTGTGTCCTCATTAACCACTTGCCAACCATGCTATAGGCGAATGATGACTACAGCGGGGTTGTCTAGTTCTGGGCGGGCATCATATGATGTACTCCCAGAACACGCCCTTCCGCACGCCACCAGTGGCACTCACCTGGCACTCTCGATGATCGCTGTGTCCTACGGACACAGATATTTACACGATGAGATAAAAGGCCAACCACAGTGGCCTTTTACTACATGATCAGCTGTGTTTAATGACACAACAGATCACCAAGCAAATGCAGTTGCCGGTTATTGGCTGTACTTTCCTCACGTACTGCCGATAACAAGCAAATGACACAGAGGACATCTGCACTGATCATCAGGGCACTGATGATCGTGCCCAGCAGTGCCACTCACCAGTGCACAGCAGTGCCACCCAGCAGTTGTGCCCAGCAGTGCCATCCATCAGTGCCCAGCAGTGCCACCAGTCTGCGGTTCCCATCATTGCTGCATATCAATGCAGCATCATCAGTGCCTCCTCATCAAACTCCACTAGTGTCACCTCATCAGTGCAACCTATCAGTGCTGACTATCCGTGCCAATTCATCAGTGCCACCTATCAGTGCAACCTCATCAATGCACATCAGTGAAGGAGAAAAAATATCTGTTTGCAAAATTTTATAATAGAAACAAAGAAAAACTTTTTTTTTAATTTTTTGCTATTTTTTTGTTTATAGTGCAAAAAATAAAACACCCAGTGGCGATTAAATACCACCAAAAGAAAGCTCTATCTGTATGAAAAAAAATGATAAAAATTTCATATGGGTACAATGTTGCATTACCATGCAGTTGTCATTCAAAGTGCAACAGCACTGAAAGCTGAAAATTGGCTTGAGCACAAAGGGGGTGAAAGTGCCTGGCAGGCAAGAGGTTACGGAGATACACTTTTCTTGATTTGTCCTGTTGACTGTTATCACTGAGACTGAAAACAACGGAGAAACCAACATTTTTTGTTGCCTCCAGGATTTGAGGGTTAATCATCCAATGGGGCCACTTGTAGACATGTGTGATTTGTTTTGTTATAAATGAAAATTCGGATTAAATCTTCATTATTTGGAGATTCAGATGTATCTGAATTTCCGAATCGCAATAGTAACAAATTTCAACAAATCCAAACAAAATTATAACAAAACAAATTCAAATTCACAACAAGGAATTTTAATTAAACAATGAATTTGAAAATGAATGTGATTTCGAAATAGAAACATATTGCAATAAATACTGTAAAGTATACAAGTGAAATACAATGAATAAGATAATGATTCCTTCTTAGACTGCTTTATAGAATATAATAAAATAGAATAAAACAGAACAGAATAGAATATAAAAGAATAGAATTGAATAAAAAAGAACAAATATAGTCCATCTTCTGCAATACAAATGTTGAATCAATTTAAAAATAATGGATATATGAAACAAATTCCAAAAACAAATAATTCTATTATAACAAATGTGACAAAATAAAATGATTAACTTTGTCAACTAATCCGAAACTAAACAAAGAAAACTTGTTACAGCCGCAACTGTATAAGAAGTGATTTCCTTCACATTGGACAGCTTTTCTCTCGCTTCCTTTTATGTCTACAGAACAGGAAGTGAAGGGAAATCTCCACAATGTATCACCAATAGATAAAAAAGCAGAGACCTTCACATTACCTATTCTACTGAAAATGAAAAGAAACATTTTAGCTTTAGTTATATGAAATATTTCCCACTCTCATACACACTTATAAGCTAACAAAGACTTTGATGTCCAAATTGTGTGGCACAAGTTGCACTTAAAGGCTAGGTTCACCTAAAAAAAAAATAATCAGCTACCCAATTTAACCTCCTTGGCGGTATTCCCGAGTGTAGCTCGGGGTAACATTTCAGTACCAAAAGCGGTAACCCCGAGCTACACTCGGGCTTACCCTGCGGCACTGCTCCGGCAAGTGTTCTTCACTTACCTTACCCTGCGCTCCCACGATGTGTCCCCTGCAGCGTCCCCGGCCATCTCCTTCGGCCGATGCCGGCATCCGGCTTCTGTGTCCTGTCCCTGTGACGTCGGGACGTACGGGCGCCGCCGCCGCCGCCGGCGGCGGGAAATTTAAAAATTTTAAAAAATGTCATTTTTTTTTTTTTACATTTTACATAGTAAAACATTGCTGTCTCAACCAATTTCACATACATATTGTCCCTAGTGCTTTGTCCTGCGCCCTGCCTGCATTTTGTCTGTTCTTTCTGCCTGGAAACTGAGAAATGTCCATGGCGTCCAAAAAGTGTCCCCTTTAGGTCAAAAGCGGTTTAGATCAGCTAGAGAACAGCGAAGTAAATCAGAACCACTTGCAGAATTGAGTGATAATGATTCGTGGGGAAATTTGTCATCAGACACTGAAAACGATTTTGCGACTGAGCTCAGCAATGTGCGAACTTGGCGCTCTATTTCACATTTCAGTGTTTTTTGTTTGATTATATTATTGAATTAAATTTTTTATTATTTTTATATTATTTTTATGATTATTTATTAAATTATAATTTATGATTTTGTGTTTCAAATTTTATCATACCCGGGATGCTTACTAGACTCTTGTTCGGACAGATTTCAGTGAGTTTTTCCTAAAAAATTACAGCCTACAATAAAAAAAATACATATTTCCATGCAAAAAAATGGTACCGCTTTCAGCACCAAAAATCTGAAATAATCATACCGCCAGGGGAGGTTAATTAAATACTACCAGGCCACCCAACTAGCTCACCTAGCTCAATAACACACTGTGAAAGAGGCCCTACTAAGGCTAAGCCTAGAAGAGGCGGATTGTGACCTACTGGTGGTAGACAACCTTCTTTGGCTTCATCCTAAAGAATCTAGAGCAGTTACAAACCCCATTACATTACATTATCTGAGAATATGGGACCGCTTAAAAACTACCTGTCATCTACAATCATCACATATTCCCCTCTTATTTCTTCTTCATAACCCAGCTTTTTACCCAGGTAAAGTGTCCCCAGCCTCCTTCCACTTATGAAGCTCATTGAGTCTAACTCAATTGGGCCGCCTCATTACAAATACCTCTTTACATTCCTTTGTTTCTTTACAAGAACAATTTCATGTCCCGAATTCAGAAATCTTCCGATATCTCCAAATCAAACACTTCTTCACCACATACATCAACGGTCAGATGAATTTACAGACTCAAACCTTTTTTTGAACACGTTTGTTCCACAGAATCAGGCCTGATCTCTAAAATCTATGCCCACTTGATCTCCAACTCAAATTCGTCTCTACCAAATTATACCTCCCGGTGGGCGGATGGCATTGATACCCAGCTAGAGCCAGAAGACTGGTCTGAAGTATGGGAGAATACAAAATTGTGTACTGTTAATGTAGTATCTTTAGAGGCAAACTCTAAAGTATTGGCACCATTGTATTTAGTTCTTGCTAGGATAGCTCAAATATCAGCCCTTGTATCCATCGCATTGTTTCAGGGGCTGTTCTGATGAAGGCGCCCATATACATATATGGTGAACCTGTCCGGTTGGTTCTTCATTCTGGACCAAAGTATTTGGTATGCTTTCACTTCTGTTGCATACCCAGCTTCCACCTGACCCTGCTATAGCATTCCTAAACAAGCACACCCAGGACTTGACGATGGCACAATTTAATTTATTGTACATAACCACTGCTACAAAACAAACCATTGCTAGATCATGGAAGAAACCTTGCTTGTGTATTATTATTGGTCTAATTTTGACCACTCTTTATTGGAACCCTAAAGGAAGCATGCAGAGCAAATGTGCTTCTCTTGCCAGCTTATGGGAAGTTCTTAGCCTTTGAGAAGCTCCAAGCACTCCCCCCACCCACCTCCTCTCCTTTCTCTTCCCTTCTAGCTTTATCTCACTCTCTACCTTTTACTGTCTAGTTGTATCTTTCTTTTGCAATAAGATGTCACCAGTCACTCTGAGTAGGATGCCTTGGAGCTTTGTGTACCTCATTCCCCTGTGTCACAGGGTATTCAGTAATGTTCTGTTAGTTATCATTTGCTCTGAGATGTTGTCTATGTCAACAGTCATTTATTGTACACCTTATACATCCTAAATGTTGTAACATATGACAACGGCATGTGTAACAAGCCACTTTCTACAGTAAGCTTTATTATAATCTGTACACTTATGTTTCTGCAATAACATTTTTGAACAAGAAAAAAATAATGCACATTTTTTTGCAAGTAAAAAATGTGCATTTATTATTGTTATTTTTTATTTTTTTTTAAGGAGACCGCAGAGCATTTTATTTACGATCAGCAGATTGCAGGTGCAATCTCTGGCTTCTGCAGACTCTCAGGGTAGATGGTCTTCCAATACCTTGCACAGACAGGAAACTGTGAAGGAATGATGCGGCCATGTGGGTTAAGTCCTGCACTGCCGCGTTGTTTTCAGATTGTGACAACAGGTGATGGGAGAGGATCCCCCACTGGCTGTCACAGTGAGGGGGGATTGGGGAGAGAAGCTGCAGATGCTGGAACAGGTTACATGTTTCACCCTAAAAACAAGTGGAACATGTAACATCTTTCAAAGCTGAGCTTATCCATTAAAGAGGGAGTTGGGTCAATCACTAACTTGCTGCACATGGACATGCTTGAGAGTATAAAGTAACTGCTGGGATAGACATTTGATTACTGGAGTGACCGATATCCTAGATCTTACCACAAGCAGCTACTAAGTGGACATAGTACTGTAGTCAGTAGATTTAGCCTTCTATATTTCTATGATATGTCTTCAAAATTATTCATGTAACAACTCTCAAAGATTTTCTTAACATTGGGAAGATTTTCTTTAACTTTCTGTTGGGTTTACACAACAGGAAATAGTTATATTTTCCCAATTGATTACCGATGGATAAAGAACTAACAGGGTGCGTCACCGTTACCTACTCACTTGAAAATGAAACAAACTGGCTTTAGTGGGGGAGACATTTGAACCCTAATGTGCCTGATCTCCTATATTTTTCATTTTTGTGAGATCCCTTCAAAGGTATGCATTCAAGCTGCCAGAGTGCTGATTTTGCCACCACAAAGTCTTTGAAACCCTAAACTTATACCTAGCTTGGAGGATTTGAAGTACATTTTAGGTTGGATCCAGGGGTGGACTGACAACTCATGGGGCCCCCGGGCAATAGGGGATCATGGGGCCCCTGTGTCCTTGCCAAACTCAAAAAAGCCTATGAAAAAGGTACCAGGGGCATCTCATGTGGCCCCCTACTGACCCCGGGCCCTTGGGCAGTGCCCGAGTTTCCAAATGGTCAGTCCGCCGCTGGTTGGATCAAATGTTGTCAGTTCAGCAGGAATCTGAGAAATTGTGATTAGTGCGTAGAATCCCTGATCGACAGAAGCCTATTGCATAATCAGCCTCTGTTGAGGGGACTTGCTGGAAAACTTTTGTCAATCAGTAGTTGCAGCCAAGCGGCGCATGGAATGGAGGGGGGGGGGGGGCTGGGGGGTTGGGAGGCAGGTTCCATCTCATTTGTGTGGATGAAGAAATCTGTTACTTTTTTTTCAACTATGAGACAGAGCATGAAGATGACACTAAGGAATATTACTGCAACTGAGAGAGACCTGGAGAATACAGTTTTTTTAAAAGGGACATTTAGTTTTCTTTACAGTATATACTAATCTTGATTAAATATACACATTACATTGCCTCATACTGGGCGAAGAACAGACATGAGGATGTAGGAATGTGGAAAAAATATAGTAAAATTAGAATGATTAAGGAGGATATAGCAGACTTAAAGAAAAATTGTATATGTCTGCAGATGGCAACAAAATATGTTTATATCAATTATTTGGAAATACTGACTAGCTAAAAAAGGGCATTTTTTTACATAAAATGTTGGCACATTTTCCAATGTCTTTAGTGTTATAAACAAATCATATATTTTAGAATGTAAATCAATGTAACTAATGTAGAAACCTGATATTTTAATTTGCAGCAAAACTGTGTCTTATGGTATGAAAATGATAGTATTGTCTTATGTATGTTCCTTGATTTTGTTTATTGTTTTGTTTTTCCCTCTGTCATCAGGACATTTTGGGATTTGGTGCAAGTAGCTATGCAAACTTTCTGTACATTCTATAGTAGATGGCTCAAAGGATGGATGATAACTGAGTTCATGAGCTAAAGCAAATAAAGTAGTCCAAGCAATAATAATCATCATGGGGGCAGAAAGAGGCAGCACTCGGAAAGCAGCTCCTGGGAGATGTGAAGGAACCTTGCAGCAGTAAAAAAAAAACAAACCCAGAGCGCTACTCTAAGTGTAGCATATCAACACTTTATGTGTTATGTCATATGGTACATTTAGAATGGCGTTCTGTGCTTGTTTTAAACTTTCTGTATGTGAATGTCTAAAAGGCTCACTGCACACTGCAGATAGACAAATGGAAAACCTTTACCTTTAAAAAGCAGATTATTGGTGAGCATCACTCTGTCCACAGAAAGATAAATATCTGGCATTCACCAATGTGTATAGGGAACTGACCACCTTTCAGCCTCCAACAGTGTCCCACTGTGCCCACCAATCTCTCTCTGTCGGCACTGGGCAGGACGGGGTTAACATGAGGGCGATCAAAGGGTTAACTGTGTGCTGGGAGTGTTTTACTGGGGGGCGATGTCAGTGTGCTTCCAGAGCAGTGTGCCCGAGCCGACAGGGAGGAGGGCTGTTAGTAGACAAAGCAGCCCTCCTCCCCGTCGGAGATCCTCGGTAATTACCAGGCACCAGTGGGTAATCACCAGCCAGGACCCGGTGAATGACATCTGCAACAGCGAATGGCAGCACGGGTAGGGCGCATGCGCGCCCTCTACCCGTAAATACAAAATCACGTATATATACATGATTTTGTGCACCCCTGCTGCCCTGTAGCAATATTTCTGCTATAGGGCAGCAGGGGTGCCTACAGGGCTGAATATGCTACTGTATATTGTACAAAACATAGTCCTGACCAGAACACCAGGTACGCTACCTTTT